TTGGCCTCAGTGAGCTAATCTGCTAGCCATGCAAACTTTGCAACGCAAAACGTTCTTTAAAAAGTTTGAGTATCTGTCTAATGTAAATGTAAATGTTAATGTAAATGTTGGTCATCAAGAAATCATCAGTTTGATCCCCAGTGATGCTACAGCCGTCCATGGCCGGGAGTCCAAGATAGCGCAGTTGTCCTCGCTCTTTCCTCTCTCTCTTTTTTACAGTCGCTGTGAGGAAATCCAAAAAACGTGAGCTCCCATCTGAAAACGAAATTGAAGTATCTGTAACAACGTTGTTATTCTGTTTACATTTCGCGACATATATGTGTCTCAGTGTAAAAGTGTTAGCGTTAGTTTTCTCCGATCTGAGAAGAACTCCCATGTTCTCTGAAAGCTTACAGATATGGACGAAATGAAGCAGCACCACTGGAAATCGTGGGGCAGTGTAGCCAATCATAATCAATTTGGTAATATAAGTGGAAAGAATTCTCCATCCACTAGGGCTGGGTTGAATAAGGATGCCATCGCCCATCGTCAATGGCTGACAGACATCATGATGCCACACCCCACCACACCCAACCCCCGGTCCACACCAACAGCAGGGCGCTTTAGTCAAAGGATCCTGTTTACAGCCTAACATTACACCAAATATTCACATTAATAAAGTAATTTAAACTGTTTAACTGTGTTTACACTGAGAGTCACAGAGAACCGTAAAGTGATGCCTTTCACTGCAATGTCTAATCTAGAAATCTGTTTTTAACAAGCGTTTCAATAAAGCTCCTTGTATTTTCACCACAGAAGCTAGCTATGTTAGCGGCAAGCTAGCAAGCTTGGCTCCATGCCATTTGGGATTTTTACATCATATCTAGTTTAAATATGCTTATTTTTTTAGCTCATAACAGGCATAAGTAACATTCTTTACTTTACTCGTTGTTTAAAGAAACGCTTTATTTATAGGTGTAAACTCAAAGTCTGGCTTTTATTATTGTAGCGTTAGCTTGTTAGCCAGTTAGCTTTCTGTGACCTGTCCAGTCTGCTAGTGAGGGCAGAATATATTCCGTTATAAAGAAAACATAACATGTAACAGTTAAAGTGAGTCTGTTAGTAGCAAACAGTGACGTTTAACTGGCAGTTTATCATCTGGTTGCACAGATGTTAATGTTAACAACTGAGGCATTATGAAGCCACAGTCTCATGTCTGCTGAAGCTCTGCGCTGTTTATGCGTGTAGCAGTGCTGCTATTCTTGCCGTGATTTCATCTTTACACAGCTGGACTAACAGCTGCAAACTGCACGTTGGCCCAGTAACGCCCAAGAAGTTTTTTATTAGATAAATAACATAAAAAGTAAGCACAGTTTCTTTGACTTCGCTAAAAAAGGCAATGAACAACGCTTCTGTTACCCAACCGGATATTTCAGAAATAATTACGAAACACAGTGGTCATGTGAAAAAGGTGAATATGGACGAAAGAGAGGAAAAGTAAGAACAGATCAGGTGAGCAGGAGATGATGGGCTGTGAACAGGCTGCGTTCGACATAACGCTGACAGTGCTGACGTAACGTGATGCATGCTGGTTAGAAATTGTGTCCAGCTTTGTCGGTGCTGCAGAGCGTCACCGTGTCATTAGGGCTGCAACAAATGACTAATTTGATAATCGGTTGAGGTTGTTTTATGCATTTGCTAACTAACAATGAAGACAGTATAGATGATTAACATTCAAGAAATCACTGTTTTAAAGCTAATACAAAAGATAAAACTCCAATGTATTTTTCCTGTCAAAATTTATAACCAAGGATGTGCAAAGTAGCAGCAAGAAAATGTATCAAAACTAAATCATTTTTCCTTTAAGTAAGTAAATTAAAAAATCAAGCTGAATTTAAATGTTAAATTTAAACAGTGCAGTCTGTGCATTCTGCTGTCTGTCTACACTTTGCTGCAACTAAATTCTACAGTCACAGGTCTTTAGTGAAATGGAGGAAAGTCAGAATCTCTCTGTGCTCCTGTGAGAGCCTCGGTCTCCTCTGAGAGCAGATACTCCCCACTGACGCGCTCTGACGGAGCGGATGGGAAAGCGGCGAATGTTTGTGGCAAACTCTTCTATGAACAGTTAGATTTGAACGATTTCGTGAAAACATTTTATTTCAATGGTAACCCTTTGTCCAGCTACCTAAACTGTTAGCGAGTGGTGACCAGCGTTCGCAGAAAACAGAAAACTGTTTGGAAAACGCTCTCCTGCGTTCGCCGAATTTGACCGCACCGGCGGCCTCGTCGTTAAGACGACGATGCAGTGTTTAAAAGTGTAAGTGTTATCTGGAGTGTGAACAGGGTCGCTGTGAATAATAACAATAGTTACGTGCGTCTCTGTTCCAACTCCATTAACGATTTCGAAACAGAAAATGTTACAGCTCATAACATGAAGTAGGGCGGCTTTTAGCATTAACTAGCACACATTTCTGTACTTCACATACGACACTAACGAGTGCACCTCTAATGGTATGTGCGCTATTTTTACACACCATTTAGTGTGCTAGTATGCGGTTTGGGACGAGGTGTATCTTACCGAGATGAGTCTTCTTCATCCAGTGAGCCGACACGTTTCCTCTTTAGATGCTCCTTGATGGAGGATGTGCTCCTATGTCAGATAACGTCGGCTTTACAAATAGCACAACTGACAACTTTTTTTCTTAGTTTAGCTCCCGCACTTATGAGAATTTTGTTCTTTAGGCTGCCATCGCACCGTTGTTAAGTCTCCAGTAAGCGGTAATGTCAAAACGTTCCTAGTGAGCGTCAGAAAGACTCATAATGACGTCACCAACTAATCGACCACTAAAATAGTTGGCAACTAATTTGGTCTCGATTTTAGTCGACTAAGTCGAATAATCGTTGCACCCCTACGTGTCATATGACAAAATCTGGCAGGATCAAGGCAGCTGCAGTTTCTCTCTATCTGCTGCACGAACTACAACACGGTTTCGTTAAAGTCACATCGCCACCATCACTAGCTGGAATCTCCAACAACAAACATGGCGTAGGTGACACTCACTTTTATTCTAAGAACTAAGATCCATTATCTCCTGTGGTTCTCTCCCCCAATTATTTGATTTCCTCCTTCTGGCAGCTCATTTTGTACATATGGCTACAATAAACTCTATAGTTTTCATTTCCAGCACAAAAAGCTGTACAAACAGTTAAATCCACAAATGTGTTATTCTAAAAGAAATTATGTCCTTGTAGGTCATAATTTATTCTTTAGATTTCTGTCAGCGTCATGGCAATGTGGTTGTCTTTGTAATTTTGTAATGTTTACTTTTTTCTCATGCATATGGTTCTCAATACATGTAGAAATAATAATAAAAAAACTCATGGAAAGTGTGGCTCCAGCAGGTATTCCATGTGTGACTTTTTCCCTGATACACTTTAACCCATCACCCCTAGATGTTTCATAATACATTTCTTAGATTTTATTTTATGTGTGTCAAAAGTCTAATGTAAACGTTCAAGCACTGCAATAAAAAAGGCAAACGTACATTGTTACGACCTCCTCCACCATGTTTGTTGCTGTCAGAAACTTGACTCTGGACTGCCCTCTAGTGGATCTATTTCTTAACGTCCATGAAAAGGTAACGGATGCATCGGTGTGTGGACAGTGGTGATTACATCATTTGAAATATCAATATATATGATATATTGTTGTTGTCAGAAGAAAACCTCATATCTCCATTTTTGTTGTTTTTCAGATTTTGACATAAATTGAAAATGTCTGTTGCCCTTTACATTGTGTAAATTTCCTGATGAATGGACTGAAAGAAACGGTCCAAAACAACTTGGAAATAGTCTGCTTCTGACTTTGAAGTAAATTAAAGTACATTAAAAGTGAAGTTGTTTTTTTCCTTCTCCTGTAAAGTTAGCATTTTGGAAATATGAGGTTTTCTTCCGACAACAGCGATATATATTTTTGTATGTAAAGGGAGTGTAAATGAGCCCAAACAATGACCACAGAGGACAAACCCAATCTCACTGTAAACACAATACACTGTTCTCAGCAGAAAGATTTTCAGAAAACCCAAACTGACCGATGGAGGCCGATACTGGGGGACGGCTATCATTCTAGCAATATTTTAGCATCCAAGTAAACAGAAACATCATTGTTAAAAATATATTTTCTTTTAAAGTCAAACGTGTCCTGGACATTATTCTACACACACATCTCTCCTGAAAAATGTTCATTTGCAAGAGTAAAGTGTTTTCATTAATTTACAGTCAGTTTAGATTATTGATTTTTTGTGTTAAGAGAGGCTGAGAGAATGAGAAGAGAGGGATGAAGAGAGGCTGAGAGAAAGAGAAGAGGCAGAGAGAAAGAAGAGAGGGATAAAGGGAGGTAGAGAGAAAGAGAAGAGAGGGACAAAGAGGCAGAGAGAAAGAAGAGAGGGATAAAGAGAGGCAGAGAGAAAGAGAAGAGAGGGATGAAAAGAGGGAAGAGACGGATGAAGAGAGGCAGAGAGAAAGAGAAGAGAAGGGATGAAGAGAGAAAGAGAAGAGAGGGATGAAGGGAGGCAGAGAGAAAGAGAAGAGAGGGATGGAGAGAGGCAGAGAGAAAGACAAGAGGGATGAGAGGCAGAGAGAAAGAAAAGAGGGATGAAGAGAGGCAGAGAGAAAGAGAAGAGAGGGATGTAAAAAGGCAGAGAGAAAGAAAAAGAGGGATGAAGGGAGGCAGAGAGAGAGCGAAGAGAGGGATGAAGAGAGGCAGAGAGAAAGAGGACAGTTATCACTCACCCACACATGAAACGGGGAGAGCAAGAAGGAGAGAAAGAGAGGGGGATGGTGAGAAAGAGGGATGGAAAGAGAGAAATGGGGAGAAAGAGTGAGAGGAAAGCAAGAGATGGGGATGGTAAAGAGAGGAGAGAGAAAGACAAGATAAAAGAGAGGGTTAGAAAGAGAGGAAGAGAGAAGAAAGGGATGAAGAGAGGCAAAGAGAGAGAGAGATGATGGTAATTATCACTCACCCACACATGAGCTCCCATCGAGCAGGTAAGATCCGTTGTCGTGGAAACCGCTGCGACACTGGCAGTGATACCAGCCGGGCAGGTTCACGCAGCGCGAGCCGTTATGGCACTGAATCAAACCTTCAGCGCACTCATCAATGTCTGAAACACACACACACAGTGTCAGCTCTTTGTCTTGATAATGTGAACATGAGAGACACTACAGTAACACTTCATTAGAACGTTAGAGCGCCACCTGCACTGAATAGTGTTTTTAAAAACAATACTTGAGCATCGTTCTCCTGCAGTGGTGCTTATAATACAGAGGCCTCATTAAGAACAACATAAATCAGTTCTGTATGTTTTTACCACAGTTTAAGTATAAACACAATTTCTATTAATCTACTGAGATATACACTATATGGACAAAAGTATTGGGACACCCCTCCTAATTGAGTTCAGGTGTTTCAGCCACACCCATTGCTAACAGGTGTATAACATTAAGTTCATGGCCTTGCAATCTCCATAGACAAACGCTGGCAGTAGAATGGGTTGTACTAACAAGCTCAGTGACTTTAAATATGGCTCTGTTATAGGATGCCACCTCTGCCACAAGTCAGTTGGCAAAATTTCTGTCCTACTAGATCTGCCCCTGTCAACTGTAAGTGCTATTATTGTGGAATAGAAGCATCTAGGAGCAACAACAGCTCAGCCACAAAGTGGTAGACCTCAGAAACCTACAGAGTGGGGCCGTTAAGTTCTGAAGCGCACAGTGTCTATCCTCTGTTGAATCACTCACTAAAGAGCTCCAGATTACCTCTGGAAGCAACATCAGCAAAAGAACTGTGCGTTAGGAGCTTCACAAAATAGGTTTCCATGGCTGACCTTAGCCTTCTTCTGCTTCTATTTCTATTACTTCTCTTTGTTTTGTACATATGCAAATGAGCTGGTGTAAAGTTTACTGCTCTAGTACTGGTGGTCTCTCTTTCTCTTGTATTTGTACCACACTTACAGAACATAATGTCACCCGTCTATTATGCAGAGGTCAAACTGCTCTGTTTATTGCAGGCACTGAGCTGAGTGACCCTGGTGCTCTGATGCTTTTGATAAGCTTCACTCCAAACAATTATCTTAGCCCTGACTGACCCTGACTGGCCTCTGTTTAATTCCCTGCCAGGACAACCAAAGCATATCTGAGCTTCATCACTGCCGTCAGCCACTTTCAGGTTCAGAAGCCCCCCAGTGAGAGGGAGGGAGACCATGCTGCGGCCAAACCCATCCTCCAATCACACCCACCGACACAATCAAATATCACAGCTTTTTTTTCTAGCCAGACATTTAAAGATAAACTGCAGTGTTCTTCAGTCTGATCTCTATCTGACTCTTCTGTATCAGAGCACTGATTAGCACAGATAATAATTTCAATAGGTTTTCCTGAAACTGGGGAACCAAAAACCTGTTGAACAAACAGATGTCAGTAAAAATCAGCTGTAAATCTGTATAATCTGTTCCCTCAGAGATCAAACTAACAGACCCTTTTCACTCTTCCGTATTCAACGCAGCAGAAGTTGTCAAAGTAAGAACAGAAAATGCAGAGGACTCGCAAATTTTTACACTCTTAAAGTATTTAATACTTATTTAATACTTTCCTGATCAGCTATGAGCTGATCATAGTGAAATTTAGTATATGTATGTATGTATGTATTTACCACGTTATTACTACAAATGAATAGCAGATATTTCACTTTGTCCTTTATCAGTTTATTATCTAGAACCTGTTGGACATTTCAGTGTAATTCAGTTAGACTGACTTGGTACTTATCATTTTACTCAAAATAACTACACTCTTAAAAGCTGGTTCTTCAAGGGTTCTTTAGTACAGACAATGGTTCTACATAGAACCATGAACCCTCAAAGAATCCCTTGCATTATCAAAAGGTTCTTTGCATCATGAAAGTGTTCATGCTTCTATTAAGAACTGTTTTCTTTACTAAAGAACCCTTGAAGAGCCATCTTTGTGCACACAGCACTGTGGAGACTGTACCTCATTCTTCGGTTAATATCTAGAACTTAAAAGACAAAGAAAGTGTTAACATTTTACTGACTGCTTTTTCATGATAGTATTTTTTTCTCTTGCATTCTGTTTTAATTGTGTCTGATTACAATATTTATTTATTTATTTGTCTGCTTATCTATCTTATAAGCTTGTATTACCAATAAAAGGGAAGTGAAAGGCTCGTCTGTCTCTCGGCTGTGCTTTTCGGCGTGTGGGCTTTGAGCTGATCAGCAGGAGGCCGTGAGCACCTCCACTAAAGCTCCTCTGCACTTTGAAGTCAGGAGGAGAGAGATAAATATTCCCTCAGACAGCAGCTAAATTTGATCAGCTCCATTCAGCAAATTAAGAGGATGAAGGTGAAGCGTTCCGCATGCTCAACTCCAACCTTTTACGCTAGTCTGTGTACTTTCTTAGCATCAGGCTTAATATCTAGAACCTGTTAGTCATTTAAGTGTAATATAGTTAATGAACAGGTAGTTCAGCTAAAAATCTAACTGAAATAATTTCCTCCATTACTGCAAATTTAGTCGATCAGCCAAGACATGTTCAGTGATTGCCTTCTAGCTCTGGAGCTATGAGGCTAATGTAGCTAACGAACAATAGAACAGAATACTAGCATGCTAAGTACCATGTTGCTAAGTGCATGTCTAAATCATCCCACCTCAAACCGTATGGAGATGTTCAGTATCTTTAATAGGCTTATGTGGTTTATAACACTGTATAAGACACTTATCTATAAACATGAACAGAAGTACTTTAGCATAGCTTTTGAAAATAAATATAAAAAATTGGTTCTATATAGCACCAAAAAGGGTTCCTCCACTGTTTTAGGTCATAGACCTCCATTAGGTACTATATTCTGGTGGTTCAACTCCACACTTTTGCTGTACCTGCATGCATTGTGAGTTGGTTTGGAGCAAAAATGCAGATCATCTGAGGGTCGCAGAGGAGCAGTTTCAAAGCCACTGCTGTATGCAACACTTTTTTCCTACAAGGGTTAAAATTACACCTGTATCCTAAATCTAAGACCACATATACTCACATTTAGGACAATTTAAGGTCTCATTTTATTTGGATAGTACACTGGGGGGTGGGGTTAGGGTTTGGACCAGGGTGAGGGTTAGAAGGGTTGGGTTGAGGCTTTGGGTTGAGGTTAAGGTTAGGATTAGAGCCAGGATTAAAAGAAAATTCAGCCGAATTTAATACATATTATATCGAACGTGAGTTAAAAATAAATTAAGCATCTAAAGAGCACAATTCGAATAAAATGCTACCCAATTAAATATTTCAGACTTAATTAGGGCCTTAAAGTAGCAGATACTGAATAACTCATAGCAGGTACTGAATAACTCATAGCAGGTACTGAATAATTCATAGTAGATGCTGATAATTCATAGTAGATGCTGACAATTCATAGTAATTACTAAATAATTCAGAGTAGTTACTGAATGATTCTGTATCTGAATACTGAATATAGATACTGAAAAAACTGAATTTCAATCATGTGTTTAAGAAAAGTAATATTAAAGCCAGTTGAATATTGTTAGCTTGGTGCTAAGGTAAGACTAAACCCTGTAGACAGGCTAGGAAAAATAGCATTACTGCAGCAGTGGTAATTTCTTGCATAAAAGGGAAAAAAAACAAACAAACAAACAAACAAACAAAAACACATTCAATTGCCTTGTTTGTTCCAGATGCTTGGTGTGATTTGCTGTGGCCATTTCTCACACAGCTAACCTTCACTAACGTTGCACTGAGGAGCGACAGCTCATGTCATATGTGTCATATGTGTCATAAATTTTTTGTATTTAAGACAGAAACTAAGACTTAAATTGTAAAATGTAATTCTGGACAGTTTAAGACTGTGTAAAGACCTGCGGCCCCCTGGACAGACCCTGCAGAATTACTGCAGTGGCAATCTAAATGAAAAGCTGTGCGGAGTGAAAACCAGAAACGCTCAGAATATTTTGCTATTTTGATATTTTCCACCTCTCCTCAAAACTGCCACTTTGAATCCGAGAACACGACACACGCCTCGCTCTACAAAACTGACAAAACACACACACATTCAGAGCGTAATCAGACCGCCCACGCTGGAATAATAATCAAAGCTCCACAACTCCATTACCATCTGCAGTCTCCTTACTTGACACGTACTCGGAAGAAAACATTTAAATATGTCATTTTCCCTTCAGCTGGATCACTCACTCTGCTGCAGACGCTCAGTTCAGCCCTTTATTTCCTTCTGCAGGCCTAATTTTCCCAGTCTGACTCTGTGACAATTAACCCCTTCAGTTCTAACAGTCTATAATTCAACTCTACACTCTCATAGCTACAGAGCTTAAACAGTAGTTTCTCTAGTTTTTGCAGATACTGAATAATTCATAGATACCAAATCATTCATATCAGACACCAAATAATTCATTGTAGATGCTAAATCATTCACATTAGATACTGAATAATTCTTATTTGATACTGAATCATTCGTGATACTGAATAATGCATAGTGGATAATGAATTATTCATAGTAAATACTGAATAATTTGCAGTACATACTGAATTATTTATAGTACATTCTGAATCATTCACATTAGACACTGATTCATTCATAGTAGATACTGAATCATTCATGATACTAAATAATTCATAGTAGATAATGTATCATTCATAGTAAATACTGAATCATTCGTAGTGCATACTGAACATAGTAGATTCTGAATCATTCACAACGTACGGAATACGGATACGGAATAATTCATAGTAAACACTTAATCATTCATAGTAGTTACTGATGAATAATAAATACTGAATAATTCATATTAGATACTGAATCATTCATAGTAGACAGGGAATAATTGTATGGAGAAATTGAATCATTCATAGCCGACACCCAATAATAGTACATACTAGAATATCTGAACTCATCTTGTGTAACATTAAAACCAGTGTGGGTTTAGCTTGGCACTAATACAACACTTAAAACTCCATAGACTAGTAGAAATTAGCAGTACTGCAGCAGTGGAAATTTCTGGTATAAACAGGTTAAAAAGGTGAAAAAACATTACATGGCGCTAAAATATGAAATAGGCTTTCCCATTTGGAAAAA